GACACGAATCTCTGGATTCTGTTGTCATTGTGCTCAGTGAGAATCTCTGGGGTTATGGCTAGGGCTTGCATATTTTGAAAAGTTTCCACGAGTGCTTCTGATCACCAAATGCTGAGCAACATATTATTTAGCAGTTCTCTGTGCAGAGCACAAGTAACCTTCACAGCAGGAGCTGCCCACTGGCTGGGTCAGTTGTGCTGTACACATACCTTAAGGCCATGTGTAGATTAAAAACATCTAAATAGTTTGTTAGGTCTTTAAGGTGTCAGGACCAGGGACACTTTTTCAGATGCTCTTTAAATCTCATTTGCAGGTATCATGCTTTTTATTATAACCCCCAACAACCAGTGCCTCTAGCGAGGGTTTTTTGGGGAAACTTAGGTAAAATTCTTAAAAAGAATTAAATAATCTCTCTACTCAGGGATGCTCAGAGATGTCTAAGCATCTCCCACACTGTTGAGATGCTGAGTGATGCAGCAAAGACACGGATGGCTGAGGTGCACACACACACAGATATACACACACATAACATACATACACAAACACAGATAACACACATACACAAATGCAAACACACATACACACACATACACACAAATACATACACATACACACATAACACACATACACACATAACACACATACATATACATAGACACATAACACACGCATACATGCACATACACAGGAGGGGAAGGAGCCTAGAATTTTAAATTACACCACTGCTGTTTACATTGGAATGAGTCTGCCTGTGGTTATTGAAGTGCTATGAGGTTTCATTGTAAAGCTTGATTTCAGTAATAGATTTTAAAGCTTTACCATTATATGGTTATTTATTTTAAAAAAAACTATTTGGTACTCCAGATGCAAGAATGTTAGCTTGTTGTCTGTTGGAAATTTTTAAGAGTCTGTGTTCACTTTGAATATTAAAAACATAACCTGCAGTGGTAATAATAGTTAAAAACATAGCCTGCAGCAGTGTTTACCTCACTGTGTTAACATCTGATGTTTAAGACATCATACACTCTCATGGCTGCAGCCTACTCACATGAAGCTCTTCCTCTGTTTAGTGGATTCAGTTTCTTTAGAAGCAGCTTTTTGCTAGGTATCTGGACTTGGAAGGGTATATATTTCTAAAATAAGCCACATGATGGATATTCTATACAGTTCAACCATAGTGGAGTCAGAATTAGAACTCAGCCTCTATATGTGAAAAATTTTATGTATTTTCCTGAGTTATGGTGTTAGAATATGGGTAAAGTGTGTGTTTTGTATACCTTTATATAACTAACTTTGAAGAATATTTCTAATCCCTTTTCATCCTGAGATTCACTGAAATGCTCGAAACACTTGTTAATTCTACTTTGTTGTTGCTGAATAGAGCACATTGAAACATACCACAACCCCTGCTCTTAGAAATGTCATTTCTCAAGAACTTGTAGTGTATTAGTAAGGAAATCAGAATAAAGTTCTATTTCTGTGAAGAATACTAATAATAAAACCTTTTTTTTCCTATATAAGAATGATGGTTTCTTGATCAATTTCTGACATTTTTGTCCAAGAATTTTTTTAAACTTACTGTTTGCTGAGATATGCCATGTCCTTGAGCTGAAAGTCTCCTAATTTGTCACATAACCTGCAAGTTCAGTACCACTTATTTGGCCAGTTTTCCTAAAAGCTTGATGCACAGTTTCTACTCTGCTCCAGGCAGTGGAATAACGATACTGCTTCTGGGTCAGGTGCCTTCTGCTCTCACAGGGAGTCTCTTTGCCACCAGTAATACAGTTATTTGAGGATTTACTGAACATATTAAATATCTTGTGCTTTTAGGAGATATTCTTGGTTCTTCCATCAATGGCTTTGCCTCACTAATTCAGATGCCTCATGGCTGTGGTGAACAAAACATGATAAATTTTGCTCCAGATATTTATGTTTTGGATTACCTGACTAAAGAGAAACAACTGATGGGATTTAAGAGAAAAAGCCCCTTTTTTCATTTATGAGGCAAGGGAAGCATTTTGGAAACATACTTTTATTTGTAAAAGTAAATTTGCTTAGTTATCTTCAGTCAGAGTTGACCCTAGTCTGTGTTTCAAAATGGACAAATTTTTATCTCTGTTTGTGGGACCAGACAAGGTTGAATGTGCCAGAGCTGCAAGCAGTGGGAAGCTGTCATCATCCTCCCTCAGCTCAGTTCTCAGTAATCATCGTCAAGATGCTTGTTCAGGAGTTCAGTTCATTTTATGTATTTTCAGGAA